CTCTTCTTCTCCGCCTAGGGTTCTTTCCCATCAATCTTTCCTCATTCCCCATGACCTAACCTGGCAGATTCACTCAGATCGGAAGGGACTAGTCAGTGTTGTTTTTCAGTTGTTTCCAAATAGTTTATTTACTCTCTAAGAGGCCTGTTGGCTCGTGTGGGGCTGAAGCCACATCCCCAGTCTCACCTCCTGAACACCTCACACAGTGCCTGGCATACAGCTGGGCACGAGACGTACAGGTGGCGGGGCATCAAGCCTCGGACTCAGAGGCCAGGAACCAAGTCCCTGTGGGACCCTGGGGAGGCTGCCCTTTCCTCCTTGGCCTTGGTTTCCTCATCTGCACAGTGAGGTCAGGAAGGGATGGCAAATATGCAGCCACCTTTGCCCCTCCCCCCACCGAAGGTAGACATGGCTAATCGATCATGAGCCTAGACTCAGCCTCAGAATGTTTCTCATCGCAGTGCTCCCGGAAGCCACTGCCGATGGATTAGAGTTGGCCTGGGAGATGAAAGGTACTTGCTGCCTGTGGATTTGGGGCTCCCGAAGGGCTCTTTCATCTCTTAAGTTCTTTGACATCACGATTTAACACAACGTTCTCTGAGGCCCACTTGGTGCCAGGTCTTGCTCTGGGCACTGGGGATACGAATCTAGTCTTAGCTGTAAATGAGCTGAGTCTGCAAGGGAGGCAAGGACTTCAGGGACAATATTACAAGACAAAATAACACAGGGGCCATTTGGAAGGTACATAGACGATAAAGACCCAGAGGACAATAAAGGCCTGTGGGAATGGACGACATGGAGACTAAATACATCTGGAAAGATAATGGACTTGGACCATTTCATTGCAAGGCAAACTAAGCAAAGGGTACAACAGGAGCAAAGGCTGAGAGGTCGGAATAAAAAGGAAACTGTGAGTAGCCTGTGAGGTTGATGGTCAAGAGAGTTCCAGAGGTTCCTGGAATCGAGCTGCTTTGTGCCCTGTCCATGGTGCTGAATTTTTTCTAAGAACTGAGTGCTGAGCTTGGGCAGAGCCAAGGACAGCAGCCAGGGGGTGTATGAAGAGAACAGGGTAGCAGGATATAGATATAGTTTAGCTTCTTAGGTCTTCTTAGGATGTATTGCATCACAAGAGAAATTCACTGCCCCCTGGGCCCATCTCCTTCCCCCACCTCCAGGACACCCATTAAAAGCACTTCTTGCTGAGCAGGGTTCCGGTGGGTTCTGGGAGGGGCCTCTCTATAAGTACGTCCTTGGACCTCTCTCTTTCTCCAGGAGAATGAGCAGGGCCCCCAGGACAGACACTTCTAGCCCTGCTCCTAGAGCTGGGTCACTGTGAGCCTCATGTGTCTCCCCTGTAAATGGGAACACCACACTCACGGTCTCTCTTGGACATGAGCCCCGCCTCCAGCCAGCCCCAGGTCCGGTTTGTCTTTGTATTCCCCAAACCCAACCTGGCATGCGGGAGGCTTGGCATGTGTGCTGAATACACTGAGTGGGAGAACTGAAAGGTCCCATAGGTGTGGGGGCCAGTGCAGTGCGATGCTCCCAAAAGGGTGACCCCTGCCCCCATCCCTCCCACACTGCCCGCCCCCACTGACCTTGTCGTTGATCAGCAGCTCCATGGGGTCGTGGCCCGCCTCCAGCAGCACAATCTCATTGGCCTGTCCTGGCACTGAGTAGGAGAAGGGGGTGCCCTGGCCAGTGCCCCCCGACCTGGACCGCAGCCACATGCAGATGGTGAAGGCGTAGAGCTCAGGCAGAGCCTTCCGCACGCGGGCATACATGTAGTTGTTGCGGATGGGGATGCTGATCTTGAAGGCATCAGGGGGGCTGTAGGCCGAGGACCCTAAGGAGGGTGGACAAGGGGGACACAGTAGGGGTCAGTGGAAACTGATGAGGGTGGGGTGGGCAGGGCACACTCCTGAATGGGGCTACTAGTCCCTGAGGACCTGCTATGTGAGGTCTAGATCCACTACTTACTGGCTGAGTGACTCTGGGTAAGTCATTTGACCTCTCTGAGGTTTAGTTTCCTCATCTATAAATGGAGATAATAACAATACCATCCCTGTGTGGTTTGTGAAGATTAAACCAGCTGATGTATCAAGTACTTATCCCACTCCCAGTCTAAAAAGTGCCAGAAAATACTAACTGTTAATAATGATAATGATCGTCCCCAGCTAGTCTCTCCCTCTTGTGTTTTGAAGCCTCCTCCCCACCATTTTAGCTTTAGCCTCTGGAGAGCATGAAAAGGTTTTTCCAGTTTATCTGCCATCCTGAGGACCCATCTGAGGACCGAGACTTCACCTGTTATGCCCTCTGCGGGGCCCAGGACCCACCGTGCTCCAGTTCGGCTATGCGGCCCTGCAGGGCATCCAGCTCCTTCTCCACCTCCTGCCGCTGCTGGTGGCTGCTGTGACTGAGGGCCACACGCTCCTTCTCCAGTGCCAGCACCTTGGCCAGCAGTTGCCCCTCCAGCTCATCCATCTTGGAATGCAGGGCGGTGGGCACCACAGGGGCAGGGGCAGGGGCAGCTGAGAAGTTCACACGGGCTGGGAGCTCCTGCTGTTCACAGGGTAGAGAAAGAGGCATGCGAGGTCACTCAGAGGGAGGAAAGAGAGGGACACAGGGCTCAGAGACCTCCCAACTCCTCAGGTGAACCTTAGCTTCCCCATATGCAAAGTGGGGCTGGCAATACCAGCTTCAGGCAATGAATGTGTGCTGGGTATCCAGAAGCATGTGGTTCATTAAGATCACAGAGTCAGTTAGCTCAGGCTTCAAATCCAGCTTGACCAAGGTCAGTCTGGGGCATGATGGTGAGCTGAAAGCAGGCTGGCTCCTGCCCTTGAGGACATCTCAGCCTACGGCGGGGTGGGCAACTGGCAGTGGAGCGCTAGAAACGCTCCCTGGGTGGTTCCGACCTACAGTCAGAGTTCTGAACCACAGCTGAGTCCTTCATAACCGGAAGGTTGTACACTGACTGGTCCTCGATGCGGGGAACTGTCTTAGTCTTTGCTCACCAAGCTTCTTTACAATGGTGCAAGGCCCTGTGTGGGCACTTGGCAGACTCAGAGGCTTCCGGAGTAGAGCTCCAGTAGGGTAGCCATCCAGGGTAGCATCACAGACACTGGAGTCAGACAGCCCAGGGTTCAAATCCAGCTTGAGAACTAACCTGCTGTGTGACCCTTAGCAATGCCTCTATCTCTCTGAAACCCTGGTTCCTCGCGTGCAACATGGGACAATTATACCTGTCTAGAAGGTTTGTGGGAATGATTAGGTGATCTCTGACACCCTGATCCTGCCCAGGATGAAGACAAAATGGTTTAGAGTCCCCTTCTTCTGCCTAAGACCCCAGCGGGCAGGAGAACTGGGCCAGAAGCCCGGGTGGATTCTCCTTCCCTGTCTCCTGCTGGAGGAGAGAGGAGGGCCGGGGAGGTCACGGGTTCAGACACTGGGAAGCAACAGTCTCTGGCAGACATGTCAGGGGAAATTAATAATTCAATAAGCTTCCAGGACTCAAATTAGACCTTCCTCTCTCCCCAGGGGCCCGGCAGTTCCACTCAGCCTTCCCTGGACTCTGCCCCTAGGCTTAGCCCCAGATCTGAGCTCAATGAATTCCGATTCCTTCACTGAGCAAATACTCAGTGAGCACCTGTGGTGGGCTGGGCCCTGGCCGGGTGCTGAAGAGACGGCTGAGGGCAAAGCAGAAAACCGAGGGCACAGCCTAACATTTCCTGGGTGCCCTGTGTCTCACATGGATGGCCCTGAGGCTGAGGGCAAGTATAGAAGACCCCTCCTCAGCCTCATCGATTTGCCTAGGCCTGGCCTTGCTAGTCATTTGCTGGGTGACATTGGACAGGTCCCTTAATCTCTCTGAACCTCTTTTCTAGCCATGTGATGAGGGGATAAATGTGTCCCCTGCCTCAAAGTGCTGGGAGGCAGAGAGGGTAGTATAGGCAGAGTGTCACTGCCACACTCAGCACCTGAGGGAAGGGAGATGTCACCACGGATAGTGACATGACCTGGAACTGAAGGGCTGGAGGGGCTGATACTCCATTCTGCCACTCCATCCTGAGAGTGGGGGTAGCTGGGCTAACCTCGAAGGGCCCAGCCCGAAGCTGGCCCCACAGACATGCGGCCTCTCCCCTGTCACACTAACCTTCACTATCTGGAAGGCTCTTTCTAACTCCCCAGGGTCCTAGGAATCCTGACTCTGCTGTGGCTAAAAACAAAGCCTTCTGTAAATGGGCACAACTGGCCCCGCTCTGGCCATCCCCAGGACAGAGGCAAGGATGGGAGAGTTGAAGTCGAGGCCTCATGGACTGTAAAAGCAGAATGTAAACTGTGAGCCTTGACTACATTAGCCGATGGGGAGCTCTCCACCTCCAGAACCTTCTCTTGACCATGGCAGCCCATGGAGCGACAGGGCCGGCCACCCACTGCGTTTTGAGGTGGCTGGACTTCCAGCAAACTGTGGGCTGAGGCGATTAGCTCAGAGTGCATTCGCCTCAGTGCCAGAAGGGTCGTGGCTGGGTCTCCTCTGCCCTGGCACCATCTGTCCTCAGTTTCCCTCCTTCCACTATGCCAGGCTTGGCATGAAGGGCACACATTTGAATGAGACAACGTGCCAGGCCCATCCTTGGCACTTTACACGTATTTACTCATGAATCCTCAAAGCCACTCACTTTGGTTGGTACTACTCTTAACGTCCCCATTTCACAGATGGGGAAACCGAGGCCTGAGTCCTTTTGTATTTTCTGTGTTGATGGGGCTGGGCAAAGCCGACACCTCTGGAGCCAAAGCCGCCTCTCTCCAGCGAAGAGTTCTCCTTCCTCCCTCAGAGGGAGGAAGACCTGCCAGGGAGGAACAGGCGTGGAGTGCTATTTACACAGACACGTTTCCAGGAGAAACCGTGCAGGCTGAGGGAGGTGGGTATACAAGCTGTTCTTTTGTCACAGCCACCAGCTCTGCCACCAACAGGAAGGCCAGGGAGGAGGTGGGCTCACCGGATCGTGTGTGGCCCCCTCCCCACCCCAGTGTCTGAATCAGAAGAACATGACTGGCCCCCACCCCAACTTTCCCATCTGCTTCAGGCGCGGGCTGTGCTGCGTGGGCTCCCAGCCTGATGCCAAGTGGGCCCTTAGCCCAAGATGGTGGGGGGCAGGATGATGCCATCATCGCCCCCACTCGGGTCTTGATGCAGCAGGAAGATGGGGGCTCGGAACCCACAGTCTGTTGTGCTGGGAGTCCGGGGTGGGCTTTGGTGTAAGTGTACAGGGCCTGAGCCAGAGCCCAGGGTTCTAGTCCAGCTCAGTGCCAACATGCTGGGCTCATTAGCACTGGTAATAAGAATGCTAACGGCAGCTGTCGTCATTGTCAGGCTGTGTGCCAGGTTCTGCACCAAGGAAGCACTGTGAAAACATGCCACAGCCCCTGTTGACAACCTGGGTAGGAGGCCCACTTTATAGATGAGGGAACCGAAGCTCAGAGAGGTGAAGTCACCTGCCTATGGTCATATAGTTGCAAAGTGGCAAAGCCAGAACCCCAGCCAGACCCTTCTGATTCCAGAACCTGTTCTCATTCTTCCATCCTATCCTGACAGTCTGGGTCAAGAGGGCAGAGTGCCGGCTGCCCTGCCTGCCTCGAGGGCCAGCAGAAGACTACCTCACAGCCACGAGAAGGATGGGAGGGTCTGTCAGGCTCTGTCAGGCCGCGGTTTGGGGCAGCTTCACAGAGGGGCCTGGATAGAAAGGACCTGTCTGTGCAAAGTGGCTCAGAGGCCAGGAGGATGTGTGGATGACCCAACCGCCTTGTCCCTAGGTGGGGACTGCTCCGTTCCTTTGGGGAGCAGAAGGAAGGTGGTGGCTTCAGGGCCAGAGACTTACCCTCTGCACAGCTTACCCTGGACCAGGACAGCATGAGGTCCAGCTCCAGGGGCGGCAGGGCAGTATGGGAAGAGAACAGGCCTGGTGTGGGTCAGGTCTCCTCACCTCCCCCATCTGGTCATCCCTCACGTGCTGTGCGAGTCTACCCGGGCCCACACTCTGGCTCCACCAGCCCAGTGACCTTGTTATGTAAAGCTGCAGTGGGTCAGTTTCCCTATCAGCAAGAAGGGTACAACAACAATATCTCATCACATTGTAGTGAAAATTAAACGCGTTAACAGATATAAGGCCCTGGTAGCAGAGTTGGTACATGTCGTGCTATGTAAGTGTCAGTAATTATCATTATTACTAATACTACTTAAAAATCTCCCAAAGGAGCCAACCATTCTCCACCTCCAACATTAATCTTTTTGTTCAATCATTATATATAGAGAGAGAAGTAACAGAAGAACAGTTAGGTTCCATTTAAATAAAGTTTCAAAGATTCAAAACTAGATCACATATTTGTAAAAGCACAAAGAAATGAATGGAGAGAGAAATGCGAAGGCAGGACGGTGGCGACCCTCTCTTGGGGCTGAGTGGGGAGGCTCGGAGGCACAGCAGCCGGTCGCCAACGTTCTGGTTCTGGAGCCTGGGTGGGGACCTGAATGGTATTCTCTATACCTCTGTGTATGTCTGAGAACCTTCACCATGATTTTCTTTAAAAAATGGGAAAAAAATTGAAAAGCAGAGTCTCCGAGGGTAGAACCTAACCCTGAATCTTAACCATAGCCTCACTTGGCCCCTTTGCCTCTCCCTAGTCCAGGCCACCACTGTCCCCTGGGCTCCTAGCCTGGCCCTTCTCCAGACAGCAGCCAGAAGCAGCCGCCTAACTGCAAATCCAGCCATGTTGTTTAAAATCTTTCAATAGTCCCCCTCCCTCCAGATCTCAGCTCTCATTACCCCCCTGCAGGCTACACTTCATTCCCGCTGAAAGTCCCCAGCTGCCCCAGATGCCTCTCACCCTAGGGCCCCTGCTTGTGCTGTTCCTTCTGCCAAGAACACTCTTCCCCCTCCCACCCCACCTTCTCTGGCCAGTGACTGCTCACCCTCCAGATGGCGGCTTCCCTGACGCCTGAGCTAAGATGCTCCAAGGAAGAAGGAAAGAGGGTTTCTCTGGAGGGACTGCAGAGTACTCATTCACTCATTCATCCATCCATCCATCCATCCATTCGTCAACTGTACTGTGGCCACACAATACCATGGGTACAGGCATGACTCTCATGTCAGACAGGCCCGTGCCGTTTCCAGGCTCCCCACCTACTGAATCTGTGGACCTGGGCAAAGTGTTCAAGTCTCGTAACCTTTAGTTTCCTCAACTGTAAAATTGGGATAACACTAGTATCTACATTTTGGGATAAAAGTAATGACAAAGCGAAAGAACAAATGTGAAGTTTGTCATATAATAAGTAGCTGATAAATGGCCATAACCAATATTATTATTGTCATTTGTTGTTACTGAGAGGCAGGAAGGCACGGCGAATAGGAACCATGTGGGCGCAGGCCCTGGAGCCAGACGCCAAGACCGAAATCCCAGCTGAGTGACCAAGGCGAGATTCTTAACCTCTCTGCACCTCTGTTTCTTCATCCGAGAAATGGGGATGGTAATAGTGCATTAGTTCCTGTGGGACTATTGTTAAG